TATTTCACAGTTGTGTTCCTTATTTTGCATTGATGAGTTTGCTTTACTAGCACATTCAAATTGTGAGAATCAAAAGGTCAGTGAGGTAAAATTAAAACAAGTACTTTAGAAGATTGTAAACACAGAATAAATTTCAGCCTCATGTAAATGAGGTGTGATTTCCATAATGAAGCCATTATTGTTGTCACTGGTGCATAGCAACAAGGCCAAAGCTGCACTCACAAAGAGATACTGCAGAACAATATTTTCTATAAAATGACAATTACATTCATTGGAATCATATTTCTCACTACAAATAAAGAGATAACTGTGTATTCTCAATGAACCTACTCATTTCTGCACACAAGATTTTCTTTATGGTAGCTGTCCTGTATGACCTGGGTGGGCTTTATTTCTTTCCTTTCCACAGGTAACTCCTTTCACTAACAGCTTTCACACGACTTTGTTGTTCACATTGGTGACTCCTTGCCAATTTAGGGGTTTAAATTAAATACTTTGAAGATTTGATTTTTTTTTCTTCCTGGACTGGAACTTCATCTTGACACACACTTGCCTTCTTTTTGGCATCTTTTTCTTCATTGTAGTAAAAACTATAGAACATAAAGTTTACCATTTTAATCATTTTTCAGTATACAATTCACTGGCATGAAGTATACAATACACTTATCATTTTGTGCACCTACCACCGCTATCCATTCTAGAGCTTTTTCATCCCAAACTGTAGACTCATTAAAGAGTAACTCCTACTTTCCTACCTGCCCCGATTGTACTTGATGTTGCGATAATCTTCCTTATTCAGGTATCTCATAAATGGAATAATAAAATAAGTAATTTTACTTTGCATAATGTGTTCGTTTCATGCCTATGAAACAGATAATCTAACTTGTGTCAGCATTTCACTCCTTTCAAGTACTGTGTCTGTCTGCCATTTTTGGTTTATCCACTCATCTGTTGGTGAACCTTTGGGTTGTTTTCATGTTTTGGTTCTGTGAGTGGTGTTCGGCTACATCGCTTGAATGCTGGTGTACAAGTCTCTGTTCATGTCCCTGCTTTCAGTTATTTTAATTCTATAGAAGTGAAACTATAAGATTATATGGTTATTTTTTGTTCAACTTGTTGAAGTACCACCGAACTGTCTCTACAGTAGCTGTATCATTATACATTCTCACCAGCAATGTGCAAGGATTCCAAATTCTCTCTATTGTTGCTAGAAGTTATAGTTTTTATAGTTTTTTGACAATAGTCATATTAGTGGGCATTAAGTAGTATGTCACTGCAGTTTTTACTTGCATTTTCTTGATGACTAGTGATGGTGAGTGTCCTTTCATATGCTCGTTGGCCACTTTTTGGAGAACTGTCTAGTCAAAGCCTTTGTTCATTTTGAATTAGGTTTTGCTGTTGTTGAGTTGTAGACATTCTTTATATATTGTGGATAGTCTTTAACATAGTTTGACTCTTCTTCTTTAGAACTTAAACTATGTTTTGAGGGCTTCCTGTGAGAACATTGAAATGACTGTTTTCTGTTAACTAATTCTCCTCTGAATTTCCAACATTGCCAATTATAAATGCCCATTTCAGTAAGCAGTGACATATAAAAAACAGAAAAGGTACAAGCTCACCAAATATGAAATGTCTGTTTAGGAAATATGAAACCAAAATTAATTTCATGAAATGGAGTATTAATTTTCATTTTGCCATATGTAATTCATAGTATAGCTATCAAAAAACAACTTCCCTCCTCACTTTTCATCAGCATTGCCCCCCAATATCCCTTCTCTCTATGTTCACTATAACTGTGGGCCCCAAAGAGGGTGAGTGGTGTCCAGGAAATTCACCATAGAGCCTATAAAGTAGAATTCTCAGGGCCTCTAAATTAACCTGGGCTCTTTCTGAGGTCTTATTCCTAGGTATGCTTTTCTGGAATTTTTACTTTTTAAATTAAATCCACATTTTATAAACTCAAGGTCCACAAAATCTGACTGTGTCCTGGCTTTAGTTCTTTCATGTACAATCACATCTTACTGTTTTATTAAGATGTACAATCACATCTTAATTACCTCGCTAAAAAAAAACAGCCTGTCTGTTGTTCTGTATATTGAGTTATTTATGACTGGCTTCATTTCTTGCAGAGTTTCTGATCTGGGAAGCCAGTCTCCCAAACATTAGCCATAAGTGTTCCGGTCAACCCAGGTATTCTCTCATGGCTTCCCTGCTCAGCTTTGTCAGCATTGGCCCTGAGCACTGAGAGGAACATGCGGGTCATATTTTGCAAACTTGGTGCCTAATTGTTTAGGCAAAATATGTGTGTCCTTTTGTACTTTGCACAGAGCCATAAATAGAATTTTGTACTTACGCATGGAAACAAAGAATTTAACTGCCAGACGTGATACCTCACCTTTGAGATATATCATTTGTGTAGCTTAAGCAGTTTCCTAAATATTGAGATATCTTGTCAGAAACAAAAATGAAGCTTCTGTCTTGTGTCATTATCAAATTGTATGATTTCATTAAACAAAAATGAATTTTTATAAAAATTAGACAAATCTCAATACAGCAGCTCCTGTCCTGCTATAGGCATTTAATAACAAAGTAATTATCCATTCTGTATAAACTTTGTCTTACAGAGTATTATTTTCTCCATGCAGTTATTATAATTCAAACAATTTTATCTTTTTCTATTTGAGTAACAGCGAGGTCTCTCCTTTTAAAGCCATTTTGCTTCTCAAAAAAACCCAGTAAATAATCAACACAATGCAATGCATATAAAAAATAACATCAAAATACAGTTTCCTGCTTCCGCTTTCCCTTCCTCTTCCTCTTTTTTTCCCATTCTCTTTCAGTTCTTTTCTTTCCCTTTGCTTCCCAAGCAGTTCCACCCAAAAGCCACTAGTTGATACAATGCAAGGTGTGCATTCACCAAGTGGTATCTGGGCCTGGAGGGTCCGGTGCCATTATTGGGAGAAGGGGCACACACGCAAGGGGTGGGCTGCAGGGTGACTGTACGAGGCCCTCTGAGCATGGGATAGGGTGACAAGCAGTGGAGAGTGGTTACAGTGAAATAAAGCAGTTGATCCAATAGCTTAATATTCTAATGCTAGTGAGAAAGAAATTTCTTAACAACAGAGAAGGGAGTTAGAAATCAGGGAAGGGAAGAAATTTTAGAATTCACCCTGTAGTGCTGAATTGGAATTGGAATTGGAAATGTTGGTGTGAATGATTGTCACTGTATAGAAAATACAGATGTAAATATATGTGTGTGCGTTGATGTGCATATGAGTACATACATATTTTTTCTACTTTACGAGTAGCAATATCCCAATAGCAATGAGTATATCTAGCCCCAGATGATTTCTAATGCCATTTTCCCCCAAAAGAAATCAGAACTGAGATAGGAAAGAACAAGATGATCCTTTTGGACTGAAAACAAATGTCCACAGAATGAGAAATTACAACAAAAAGAACGTAACAGAAGCTATCTTGAAAAAGCCCTCACTAATCTAACAGGACAATTTGACCATCAAAACAAATGTGACTAACAGATAATAGCCTACTTAATAGACAGTCTCTGAGGCGATAATAAAAAATAAATGAAGGAATAGATCAAGCATTTGATAAGGAGAAGGTTACCTAATTTCAACATGCAAAATTCTTATTAAATATTTTATAGTGGAGAGTTTGTGCAGCTAGTATATAGAGATCATTGCTTTGATTTCTGACAAAGTTTATAATCTAAATAATGAGAAGATATCAAATTCAAATTTAAGGACATGCACAAAGAAAACAGCTGGTATCTTCAAAAGCATCAGTTATAAAATCAAGGACACACAAAATAACTATTTGGGGTTCAAAGATATTACATCGATTCTTCTGTTACAAAGAAAGTGATTGGAATAACAAGCAAATGTTGAATGGGATCAGAGGTTGTTAGTAACATACCAAGGTTTATTTCTGATTTGAGGATTATGTTATGTTTATGTAGGAGGGTGTCAGGTGGGCAACTTTCAAAGGTTCAAAGGGAAAAAAACTTTGTGATATTGTTTCTGCAACTCTTCTGTAAGTTGAAGTTTGTTTCAAAATGAAAAAAAAATCCTAAGTTACTAAACTTGTATATTTCTCCAAATTCCCACAGCATATGTGGATTTAGATGTGTAATTGATAATGGCATGTATGTGAACTCCAGGGTCTGTCATGAGAGTGTCATGTGAGCCGCCTGATGTTTTCCAATAACTTGAAAAGATGTTTATCTGCAGATACATAAATCTTATTCACCCTCCAAACTGTTGGCTTGTTATTTAAATATTAAAATCCCCGCTTTAAAAATTTTTGTCTATAATCGTACATTAATGATAAATGGAAAGAGCAATGAAGTCCGTTGGCTCTGAAGGAATCGTTCTGAAAACTCAGGAAACCAATTATAAATGATGGGTAAAATAAGCTTAGTGTTGACAGAGGGGAATCCATCACTTCATCTTTGGTCTTAACCTTAGCTTTAAAGTTTGGGCTTAGCTATAAAGCCTTCTCAGTCAGAAAGATATGAGGACATATTTATCTACACACACATTTTTATTCATTTCTGTTTCAAAGTGTTGAGTCGTACTGTACTATTTTGGGAGCACATTGCTGCCTACCATTCTCTGCTGGAGCATTCTTTTAAAATTTACACACCCACTCTTCTATGAGAATGAAATGTGGTTGCAGCTCTGCAGTTATTCACAGCACTTTCTGAGCATACAGCAGGTGGCAGTCTAGGAGAGAAACAGTTCTCAATATTCCCCATCCCCCTGCTCAGCAGCAAAACAGCAAGAATGTGGACTCAGCAATGTGCCTTCTCGCTGGCACACGAATGGGATTTCCAAGGTTGTTTCTTTCCAAATGGGCACTTGAGCACAGTCAGTATCACAAGAAAGAAACCAAAAATAATCTAGTATATATGTATATCCATGTAGTATTCTGAAACTCAAAAATCTCTCTCTCTCTCTCTTTTTCTGTATTGTTTCTAGAAGTCCCACTGGTTTTATATCTCTTTGCCCTGATTTCTTTGACATGGCTATGGGGAGGCCTGCATATGGCTTACAGACACTTCTGGATGTTGATCCTCTTTGTCATTTTCAACAGCCTGCAGGTAAGTCTGAAAGTTTGGTTACTGATAGCATATTTCTAGAACACCAAGCAGGGAGTTTCAATGTAATAGAACACAAAATTCTACACAGATGTGAATTCATACACCCAATAATATCACAGTGAGATGTAAAATAAAATTCATTTTGACATCTAAGTAACTACAGAAACGTAATTCTCTTTTCAGCAAGATTAAGGTTTATAAACTTTGTGGATGGCAAACATGTAGGCCCTATGCACATATTTAATAGTAGTTATGTCTAGAATTTAGAGCAATTCAGAAGTGAAATAGCCATGTTCAAGCAGTCTCCTCTTAAGTCTGGTTCTTTGTGAAAAGTGTTTTGGTTCACTGAAACATGAGTGATATCCTCCAAGTCTGGCAATGCCTGGCTTAATTGGGTTTTGTGAGTGTACTTGGATAGCATAACTAGAAATTATATCACTAGCAAAAATTGCAGCTGACTTCTTAAGTGCTTTTGTTAAATGGAAAAAAATACACCCTGAAATTAACCAATGGAAGAAACGAACTCATTTTTCTTGTTTTCCTAAGTGGAAAGGACTATCTTGGAGTTAAACAATCTCTTGAATTTACCAAAGATACCACTGAATAGTCCTCATTCTGACCACCCTCTCGCAGGAACATGTGTCAAAAACACATTGACGTTATAATATGCGACTGAAACATGACTCACAGCATATTAGGTTTGCCTTAAAAAAATAAAAAAAGGAAGTTTACTTTCAGAACAAATTCATTAGTATTATTATCATATATTATAGCAGGGTGCCTAATCAAAACATAATTAAATTTGGGGAGAGAAAAGATACAAAAATAATTAAAAGTTTGAAGTCTAGTTGATTTATACAGACTTCTCTCCATAGACATATGGAGAACTGTGTTAAGGGCCAGTTTAACAAAGTGCTACAGAGCGTGAATAAAGGACTCTTCAGTCTTGTCCATCAGTAGTTTCTCTGCAAATATCTTTGCTACTGCGGATACTTAAGACAGTTTTGTTGTGAAATGAAAATGAGAGGGATATTTAAAAGGACCCGAGGGAAAATTAATAACAAGGTATAAAGGTGAATATAAAATATTTGAATAGGAATATAGTGCAAAAAATTACATAATACTCAAATTTATTTGAGAATTGTTTTAGGGTTGGTGGCTAAACCACATAAAGAATTGGTTTTCCCTTTCTGGATTATACCTCAGCTGCCTTCCAAGTCTTCTGTTCTTTTCACAAGTTTATACTTTGGTGATCTGTTTTGGTGACCACACTTACTAAAAGCATGAAATCAGAGAGTATAAAGGCAAAGAAATGAAACCAAACCTCAACCAGTTCCTTCCTCTTTTGCTACAAAATTGCCTTACAGCTGGTTCTTTGCAACAAAACTACCTAGAACTTGGATGCTAGCATTTAAGGTGAGCCCCCAGATCAGAGGCCCTGTCGCCATTACTTTGAATCTCTAGGCCCTGGTGAAGCTGACACCCAGGTATATACAGATAGTCCACAGATGTCTTATTTGGTGGACACACAGTGGTATACAAAAAGTTTTAGATTTTTTAAAATTTGCTGCAAAGTTTTAAAATTGAGAAATTTCACATAAGAACCTGAAATTCTAGCTTTTCCCTAGTGGCATTACTTGCATGTAGAAATTTTCAAGTCCTGGGCATGTACTTTCTCCCTTAGATGAAGCATGTGGCTTCATTACACTTAATATAGTTCATTTTTCCTACCTCTAAGTTTTTAACACCTTTAACGTTCATAAATATATTATGCGTGTATGGCTAGCGATGTGTATTTCAGGCAGAGAAAACAGAGATTTTGCTGTTTAACAATTGCTTGATGGCCCATTAGTTTTCAGCAAAGATGCTTGTGGCAAAATTGCCTAGAACTCTGTTAGCATGAAGCTAATTATGCTCAGCCCCCGCAGGTGAGGTACTCAAGGCAAGGAAGAAAGAAATCTTGCCTGAATTAAGACTTGGGAGGAGGTGGGAAGGTTTCATAGTCAGAAAAGTCAGTAATAAGAGAAGAGACAGAACGAGTAGGATGGCTTCAGTGTCATGTCACCATGCTTGGGATGGGGTTTTAAAGCCTTAGCCTTTTTATATTTTATTTTATTTTTTAAATTTATTTATTCATACAGAACTGGGGTACAGGCCAAAGATGCGGGGTGTGAGAGGACTCACCAGAGACAGAGTGAGGAGCAGAACAGGCAGATCAACGAAGCACACTGCTAAGGGGAGCAGCAGGCGGGTCAGAAGAGGTCTGTCTCACGATGTGGATCTCCTCCAGGGCAGGCGGGAATCGAACTAATGTGGAAGTGGCTTACGCTTCTTAGTGCTGTGCTTTAACCCGCTGTGCCATCAGGGAGGGCCCAAAGCCTTAGCCTTTAAGCAATGAAAGTCACCAAAGCTGGGGCGGTGGCGGGATGGGGGTATTTGTTAGGTCCTGGTTTTATTTTTTTAGTTTTTTTAAAATGTTCTTAGTTTTTCAAATTTTAATAGGATAACATACTTGCACCTTTTTGGAAGACTAATTAAAACACTCAGGGAGGGAACTGGAAAGAAGAGAAGCTTCAGGTGGATAAGCTACTGTCATATTCCAACTTAGAGATGTTCTGGAAATGTGCCTAGGATTCGACAGCACACGGCAGATTTGAAAAGTATAGAAAGAAATAGTAATGAAATCTGGTTGGTCAGTTAGACTTAGGAACGTAAAGTGCAAGCGTGCGCACCAGCTAGATGTGCCTGCCTTGGGTAAGTGTCTGAGCCCTAACACCTTCAGTCAACATGAAGACTAGATCCAGAGGAGGGCTCTAGGGAATCTGTAGTGGAATTGGTGAATTACTGAGACTGGGAGACACTGGTAACACTACCAGTGTTCTAGCAATTATGTGTAAGGCAAGGGCTACAGAGAGATTCTTAATGTTAAAGACAAAAGACAAAGGATGGGGCAGTTTAGAGTGACTGGCAGAAAAGAAATCTTCAAAAGGAAGCAATATCCAGCCTCACCTAGCATATCAAGAGAAGATGAATGGAAAGAGAAGTGAACAATGTGGTCAAGTGTGGTGCATCCTGCAGCGCAAGTCACTCTCACAGGTGGCTGGGCCCCACATCCAGTTCCTACTATGGTGGATCTCAGTAGATTCTGAGAATTTGCCTCTCTAACAAGGCTCTAGGAGATGCGATGTAGCTGGTCTATGGGGTTCTCATTTGAGAACCATGGGAACATGGCCCTGTCTCAACTTGAGCTGAATTATAAACAATTACTTCTACTCTCTTCATCTGTCAAATGGAGATAAATACCATTTAGGATTACAGCGTGATTGAATCAACTGACATCATAAGTGTAAGGCATTTGTACAGCACACACATGCAAAGAACAGTTATTTTGATTATTCAAGAAGGTTAGCAGCGTCTGCAAAGAAAAACAAAGTAATAGGAAGGAAGGTCGGTGCCTTCAAAGAACTTCTTTTCTTGTGAAAAGAACCAGTGAAAGAGAAACTGATGAGAGGAAAGAGTCATTACCACCAGAAGATCACAGACAGGCAAGAACAGAAGAAAGAGTTTGTCTGAGGGGAGGTGTAGAGATGTTTCTTTCTCTGAAGCCTAAGAAAGAAGGAAGATAGTTGGGCAAGAAAAACTTTCCTGGAACTGAAAGTAAAGGAGGTAGTAGATTGCTTGTTATGCTCACTTTACTCTGAAAGGCAGGAAGCAAGGGCAGTTGTTGAGAGAAATGGACTGAACGCATGAGGTCAAAAATAGCAAAGAGTATGCAACAGTTTCTAGACAGAAAGTAAATAACTTAAATTATGGCATATTAGAAGGCTGTCAACAGTGAACTGCTTAAAGAGAAACTGATGAGATTCAGTAGAGCTTGGATACCTGCAATCTGTAATTTGCCAGTCAGCAGTTATGAAGTAAATTTAAACTTTAAGATTAAAATGGTAACCAACGTAAATTATCAAGTCCCCCACCCACCCACACACACACAAAGCGTATTATACTCTTATGGAAGATTATTGCTAAAAGAGGTCTGTTTAGTAGTAAGCTATATCTTAGGAGTGATATAAAGCAGCTTTTTATAGTTAGAAATAGGGAAAATATAAGCTATGTATAAGTAAAAACTGTAAATATTCAAGCTCCTGTTTAATGTGTTGATTCCATCTATATGACATTAGTGAAGCAATGGTCATTTGTATCACTGTTGCCTGGTATCTGATACACTGACACATGCCTATCAGGCATCAAAGCAATCAGTGAATCTTAAGAGAAATGCCTATTATGAAATTAGGAAAATATGATTTCTGTAGAGCTTATCGGGATCATTTAATTTATAACCTGCCTCATGTCTTCAACTTGGATATTTCTGTATGTATCTGCAGGGGGTGGGGAGGTATAGCTATATGTTATTAGGAATTTCTTGATCACTTTAAATGATTCATGATTGAGCTACCAAACTTTTAATATTGGGTTGTCAGAAAAGCCAAGATATATTTTTTCTATTTTTCAAGCAAAACTGTGTCATGGCACAAAAGTAAGATTTTTTTTAAATCATAATTGTAAATATGTCTACTGTTATTGTCATGTTTAATAATCTTCCTTGAACTATAAAAACATATTTATTAAAAAAATATTTCTTAAGAACTGAACTTTTATTCCAGTTCTTTTTAGTTATCCATATAATTTATATTTTCTTGATTATTACAAAGACATTAAACTGTTGGGTCTCAGAAGTGAGCAGAATATATAGAATAAAGGGAAGAAATGCCCTTAAGTTTACCCTTAATTCTAGTTTAATTCTAGGCATTAGAATTAAACAATTCACCCTTATATGTCATAATACCTGTGTTTTTGCTCTTCTCCACAAATGGCTTGATGTAAGGTAAACAAATCTCTAATTCACTTGTGCTTTATTTCACATTAAAAAGGGACTCTATAATTTGAAAAATTAAAAATGTACTTTCATACTTACTTGGTTAGCAATCCCAAAATCCAAAGGT